TTATATATATTTAATATTATATTTGTATGATTATTTTATGAAATAATTAGTGAATGATAATAAATTTTTGAGATTTCATTATCATGTATGTTCAATTTGAGTAAAAAAAATGAAAAATATATTTTTAATTAATAAAAAATTTAATTTATATATAAAAAGATTAATTTGGCACCCCCAAATTTTTTATCTAAGTTCCGCCATTGAGCTATATGGATCTACATTCCACTACCACATGTTGAGAACATTTTCATTGATTCTTATTGTTGCCACCTTGATTTCCATATGTGAAACAAGTTCCTCTTCCCACACAAATCTCTCCCTCCTCCAATTCAGCTCCCAAATCCACCTCTCCTACACCCACCTTCCCATACCATACACACTTTAACCTTTTTGCAAAAATAACAAATATAATCTACTAAACGAAGTCTTTAAACAATCTTCATCCATCCTAAACCCTAAACTTGTGAGATACATGCTATGCAAATCTAATGATTTTTTCTAGCTACCTTGAGTGATGCAAAGAATATTTATTCTGCATTTTAATAAATCATTTTTATGAAATAAATTTAAATTTTGAGTTGAAGCTTACAAGAAACAATGATTTTAAGGTTTGGATCTCTTCACTGAATTTATCAGTTTTGACTTGGTTTTTAACGATCATTGTATTTTTGTTATCATATCACAGCATATAAGTCCTATCTTCACAAGCTTCAGAATGATTTGTTTTGGCATGGCAAACTACAAAATCATATCTGTTGGACAAAGGTGCTTTCTGAAATGTGTTTATTTGACTGAAAGAGATAATCAGATAACATGATGACATCTTCACAGTTACGGTAGAGATTTAGCCACATCTAGTGTACTCAACATATGTTTACCTCTTCAGTAATACATCAATGTCTCAAAGAAGTTTTGAACATGAAAGGTTTGAAGAGCTACAAATAATAATGGTCCAACTATAAAGAGCTGACACTATCTTTAAGCCTTAATGCTGCTGCCAAGCCACTATCTATGGCACCTTCGACATTCGGACTGACACAAAAGTCTCCACAGATGGCTATTCTCTTGTTCCTGTCCCAAAGACACTTTTCCTCTGGGGCAATACTAGCAGCTGGAAATGCACTCCCCCTGCAAAACCAATCAATATTTAAAATAAAAAAGATACTCATTATAAACACAACGGAAATGCAGGCATGAAGCATTATTATCATTATTGAAATTCTCTTCAGTTCCAAATTAATGTTAAAATAGATAAAGGAAAACCAAACAAAATAAAGTATACGGATGTTGTGATCCATAATGATTCTCTCTTTGCAAAGTCCATAACCTATACGTTTTTTCTAGGTTTGCACTTGCAACAATGATATCATTCGATAGATAATCGAAAACTAATTCCTTTTGAGATGTATAAATAAATGAAGTGAGATTTGTCTCTCCCAATAAAATGCATGTTTGGAATGCAATTTGCACTGATGCAAACGGGAATTCCCTCTTTCCAAAGTACAAAATCAAGAATAATTTGTTACTTTTTTGTTCAACGGCCGTTTGAAGGTTTTTGACAATAAACCAAACGCATTGAAAGTTTTCTCCATCCACACAATCATAAATCAAACTCTTGTCAGCGTACTTAAAAGAACCTAACTATCTACCAATTATGTATGACCATGTTGATCTATACCCTATATTATACCTATCATTAACCAGATGCATTTTCTGAAAAAGCATCATTCATCATATAGTGCTCTCCCAGAAACTAGCATTCATCCGTTGATTTAGTAGTAGCTATTTTGCACTTATCTTGAACCTGTAATTAGTGATTAGACTTCAAAATTAACAACCTTACTTCTCAACATGCTAAGGTGCGACCTCAAATACATGCAGGGATATTCCATAAATCAAAACTTTGTTAAGAAAAAGGTTTTCCATGACCACTTTTGTATATCAACATGAGGTTCCAAAATGTGAAAAGAATCGATAAGTATAAAGGAATGAGAATCCATCATCTAACGCTACCCTGAAATATACAGTAATGCTCTATAACTCAAGATAGTTCTTTCAAGACACTAACAAGTAACAACCAAGTGTAATGCTAGATATAATACATGTCTATGACATGAGGAATAGCAGTCAACTCGGAACTCCCATATACATTAATTCATAGTTACTTACCATCTATGAGCTTTCTTAAAAAATGGTTGAGATATGTTAAGCCCTGTGCTTTGAAATTCATGGAAAAGCTGTTCAGCCACTTTATTGAGTGTAATGTCTGAGGGCTTCTTGAGTCCAGTTTGAGCAATTATATCCTCTGCATATTCTGCTGTAGAATGAAGAACCCATCTTTCACTGTAAAGGCCCCACCCCATTAACAATGGAAACTAAACTCACTATATTTTTCACACTAACGCAACATTAAATACCTTGCAGTAGAACGGCTTGGCTTGCTGCTATCACAATAAGCCCGGCTTAAAACTTTGGAATTTTCAAAAGAAAAGGCTTTGACTGGAATCTGAATCATAAATTGAATTTTGTAGAGTAAGATCCTCAACTCTACATCACAGAAAATGGTACTGAACAGAAGATTAAAATACTTCGCAAAGCCTTAATTCAACTAGATTAGAAAAACCATCTCAAGCTGGTTTTCATGGTAGTTAGTCTGCATTATACTTTTGATTATGTTGCTTACAAAAATCACCACATGAACCTTGCCAAACTCATTTTTCGGTTGTTTTATATAGTAGATATCAAGTTACATAACCTTTTCACAAGTGTAGAAGACATCAAGCTACACACTAAAAATTAAAAAAGAAATCAAGAATCATCTTGCCAAAATCAAACATGAGTTATAAAATGAGTCAAAAATCAAATGAGCCGTATCCAGTTCATATATTATCAAACTTATAGAATTTAATGATAGCTTGGGAGTTGTATGGTTATATCATACTGCTGATTGAGGCTCTGCAAATGCCAGCATTACAACGAAACGTGGCTCAACGGGAAGATTGAGCAACTTTCCTGATAACTCTATCACCAAATTACCATCTGCATCCCTTGCATACAAGTGTAAAACATAGTCAAAATATATTTCATACTTTCTAGATTTAACTTTATTTAAATCAGACTCCACCTATATTGGCTCATAAGTAAAGGAATCTTTAGACCTCGGTATGAGAAACATATATGTATTGCAATCTAGCAAGAAATTGATAATCCCTCTCAACTTTCTAGATTATCACAAAATGAAAAGGTGAAAGATACTCTTCTCAATTGCATCTGCAGCCATCCTCTCTAGCATAACATTAAAATAATTTATCATTAAACGTGACCAACCTGCTAGCACTAGTTGAGTTTAACAAGTTGAAGGAAAACAACAGAAGACAGTAAAAGCATATGCATGCCCCCTATAGACTCTTCGATCAAAGCATTTACTAGAGTAGTATGTGGGTCGAGGCCCACATTCAGCTTGTTAAGTTTTTCATATTAGGTTTATTATTTAAAAAATAACATTTCTAGACAACATTTTTTGTCGGAAATTTTTTTTATGTAAGTTTCTCACAAAATTGTTCGTGGGAGAGGTGGGAATCTAATATTTCCAAGGTAAAAGTTAATTTTTATTGTGGTAAAAATATCACAATACCTTTATATACTTATTTAATACAAAAATAAATCCTTGACTCCTATGTAATATATATTAATATTCTCAAAAACATTTATTATTAGCTAAATAAATTTTAATCATTCTTAAGAATTATGATTCTCGGATACGAAAAAAATTTCCTTCTATCAAACACCCCCAAAATTCCTATATTTACATTTATGGAAAACAAATTTTTCCAAAACAAAGTTATGAAGTCATGATTCATCAAGGCACCTTTTGGGATTCACTTGCATCCTCTTCGTAGCAAAATTTTACAATGATAATACCCTCTAAATTAATGAAAAACACTTGAGGAGAAAGAGGTAGAATATCTTTATTGGCATGGCAATTGACTAATACCAGTTAACCTTCTCCAATAACTTTTATTATTTTTTGCCAGGTTCCTTCACTAAATTGTTCAATAGCAAATATAAGCATTAACCTAGATGCTTCTCTACACAGCTGACTTTCTAACAGAAAGACCTGTTAAAAGAACCCAACATTGTCTTCTCAAAAGGATAAAATGAATAAGGGATCACATGGAAAAATAAAGACAGGTAAGAAAAGAAAACCATCATTCGTATGCATACCAAGTGGTGGCAACCTTCCTGTCACTTCTGGAACCCTGGGAGAAACTATATTCTTGTCTGATGCAACAAGCCCCTTAAATTGACCAAGATTTTGCCCATCCACCCCTGACAATGACCACAGTTTCTCATCATGCAGCCATTCAATTCTTCCAATACTCACACCGAACTTGCTTTCCACACCTAACAATGAGAAAAGAAATGTATAAGCTTTCTACTAGTTTCACACTATGATGTACCTATATGATACGAGTATTAGATATGATATGTATCTGATACGGCCATGCCATAATTTTTTACAAATATAAGATACGATATGTTTAAGATACATACTAAAAAAATTAAAATCAATACTATATTTTTAAAGATATATTTGTTAAATATTAATAAGTATAAAATAAAATTAAAAATTTATTATCAAAAAGTTAGATTAAGAATATATTTTGTTTTTACTTTTAAACATTTTTGAAAATATATTCTTAATTTAAATTTTTAATACTTATATATTTTTTAAACAAAATTATTAAGGATACTCCTGGACACGTATCTTATAAGTATTGGAATGGATATGTATCTGATACGATACGGTACAAAACTAGATGTATTGGTGCATGAGTGTTTCACAATCAACTCTAAACAAACAATACTAGGAGCTAATTTGGATATAAGCTAAACGAACTTATGAGAATTTCTCTGTTAAAAATAAAAATTTATTTCCAGTAGAGAAGCTCTCAAAAACACTTATAGACTTGTATCTAAACAAACTCTAAATAATAACATAACAAGTCTTTAATAGAGCTTCATTTGAAAAATTCAGTCTTAGAAAAGTTTAAGTGAAATAAAGATCCTAAATACTCTGATAATTTTTAAAAGGGTCATAGAATCCAATTCACCCCCCTCTTGGATTGTGCCATTCTTTTCTAACAATATTAAGTTAAGAAGCTTAGACTGGTAAATGCATTAGGGTCAATACCAATGAAAATTCTTGGCTTCGTAATACCTTCTATTCATGAAATTATGATGGTGCTTACAAGAATAACACACACAACAGGAATGTTGATAATTTTGTAACAAGGTTCTTAGATTGTTTAAGGGTTATTTGATTCAAGGAAATGCAGAGTGAAAATAAAAACAATAAATATTTTTTTTATTATTTTGTATAAATGTATGAAAATGGAAAATTTTTCACAAATTCAATCATCCTAATTTTCATTTATCAACAATATAATTTTTTAATTATGTCAATTAACTAGAAAATATTTTACATATAATTTGAAAATAAGTATTATAAAAAAATAATGATTTTATTATGCATTAACATTTTTTGCTTATCATGGTTATCCTACCTCTTGGCAGTGTACCGTAACTGTAATTAATTCAAAAGATTTTTGTATATAGAGACAGAATTTGGATTTCTAGTTAAATAAATTGTTTTCACAATGGATGAGTATAAATATCTAATTATTATGTTAACATATAAATTGATTAACAATTATATTTAAATGATATTATATTATTAATATATTTAAAGTAAATTCTTCTTGAATTAGATAGTTATAAGGATAAAAAATCATTAGATAGTTATAATTAATGTATTTTAATTATATTTTATTAAATTAGATACGTGTAATTAATATGATTTTTATTTTGTATGCATTAAAGTATCATCCAACCAACCAAGGATGTTATTAATATTTTTTTGTTGTTGTTAAATTTCACTTTTATTCTTCTATAATGTCTAATTCACAATTTTAGTCTTTCAAATTTTAAATTTGCAATTTAGTTTTTTAATTTTATATAACTCATAATTTTGGTTCTCTTGTTAAATATTCACATGTTTGTAACTTAGGTCATGATCATTTAATATTAAGTAAATAACATAGCAATTGATATTTAATAATATTTTGACTGAATTGTAATTTTTGTTCACTTTTTATCTCATAAAATGATAAAATGTGATGAAAAATAAGATAAAAATAAAAATTAAATTGCAATTTTCCTGACTATTATTAAATATTATTTATCATGTCATTTATTTAATGTGAGGTTATGTCTAACATTACAATTGTAAAACGACCAAAATTGAAGATTTTATAAAATTAAAAGACTAATAAATTAAACATTATAGAGTGACCAAAAATGTAATTTGACCTACTTTTTTCTTTTGACAAGGAACTTCCTTTCTCGAACATGAAGATTAATATCTTTAGAGAATTTGCCAAACATCAAATAGGATGCAATCTATATGATACTATAGTACCCATTCTCAAATGTGTGTTTAATGTAACACCCAAAATTTTTTAAAATATTAAAATACAATTTTAATTAATTAAATGTGCTTTAATAAATAATTTAGGCTTTTAAAATAATTGAATGTGTTTTTATTTAATTAAAGAATGTTTTGTGAAAATATAGTATTACGTAGAAGAGTTATTTTAAAATTATATTGTTTTAATTATATTTTGTATTATTTAATAAAGAGGGAAGGGATATGTTTGAACCTAGGTCAATCTCTTTAACTCGAGGAGTTATGTTGTAGTTAAGAATTATAGAAGGGGGATTAACATTCATCAGATATCTTATTTTATGCTCTTCAAACTTACACTTTTCTCTAAAGTTTGAGAACCTCTTGGAGATCTTCGTTCACCTTCTAGTGTTTTTCAAGTTAAAGAGGATGATGAATTATCTCGCTCAAAGATGTGGGAAAACAATTGGTAGTGAGATTAACTCACAATCCCTTATTGTTTTGCAAGGGGACTTTGGGAGCCCCAATGCTTAATTACGTTTGATGAATTTGGTGATAATATGTCATTAACATCTCTCTATTGTTCTGATTTGATGTAAATTGTTTCTGTTTGATGTGAATCGAGTTCCTTTTGAGAAACCCTATAGTTCCTATTAGAAACCTTATTATGCATTAACATTTTTTGCTTATCATGGTTATCCTACCTCTTGGCAGTGTACCGTAACTGTAATTAATTCAAAAGATTTTTGTATATAGAGACAGAATTTGGATTTCTAGTTAAATAAATTGTTTTCACAATGGATGAGTATAAATATCTAATTATTATGTTAACATATAAATTGATTAACAATTATATTTAAATGATATTATATTATTAATATATTTAAAGTAAATTCTTCTTGAATTAGATAGTTATAAGGATAAAAAATCATTAGATAGTTATAATTAATGTATTTTAATTATATTTTATTAAATTAGATACGTGTAATTAATATGATTTTTATTTTGTATGCATTAAAGTATCATCCAACCAACCAAGGATGTTATTAATATTTTTTTGTTGTTGTTAAATTTCACTTTTATTCTTCTATAATGTCTAATTCACAATTTTAGTCTTTCAAATTTTAAATTTGCAATTTAGTTTTTTAATTTTATATAACTCATAATTTTGGTTCTCTTGTTAAATATTCACATGTTTGTAACTTAGGTCATGATCATTTAATATTAAGTAAATAACATAGCAATTGATATTTAATAATATTTTGACTGAATTGTAATTTTTGTTCACTTTTTATCTCATAAAATGATAAAATGTGATGAAAAATAAGATAAAAATAAAAATTAAATTGCAATTTTCCTGACTATTATTAAATATTATTTATCATGTCATTTATTTAATGTGAGGTTATGTCTAACATTACAATTGTAAAACGACCAAAATTGAAGATTTTATAAAATTAAAAGACTAATAAATTAAACATTATAGAGTGACCAAAAATGTAATTTGACCTACTTTTTTCTTTTGACAAGGAACTTCCTTTCTCGAACATGAAGATTAATATCTTTAGAGAATTTGCCAAACATCAAATAGGATGCAATCTATATGATACTATAGTACCCATTCTCAAATGTGTGTTTAATGTAACACCCAAAATTTTTTAAAATATTAAAATACAATTTTAATTAATTAAATGTGCTTTAATAAATAATTTAGGCTTTTAAAATAATTGAATGTGTTTTTATTTAATTAAAGAATGTTTTGTGAAAATATAGTATTACGTAGAAGAGTTATTTTAAAATTATATTGTTTTAATTATATTTTGTATTATTTAATAAAGAGGGAAGGGATATGTTTGAACCTAGGTCAATCTCTTTAACTCGAGGAGTTATGTTGTAGTTAAGAATTATAGAAGGGGGATTAACATTCATCAGATATCTTATTTTATGCTCTTCAAACTTACACTTTTCTCTAAAGTTTGAGAACCTCTTGGAGATCTTCGTTCACCTTCTAGTGTTTTTCAAGTTAAAGAGGATGATGAATTATCTCGCTCAAAGATGTGGGAAAACAATTGGTAGTGAGATTAACTCACAATCCCTTATTGTTTTGCAAGGGGACTTTGGGAGCCCCAATGCTTAATTACGTTTGATGAATTTGGTGATAATATGTCATTAACATCTCTCTATTGTTCTGATTTGATGTAAATTGTTTCTGTTTGATGTGAATCGAGTTCCTTTTGAGAAACCCTATAGTTCCTATTAGAAACCCTTGTTATAGAACAATTTAGAAATTGATGTAATTGTATAAAAATTGTGTAATTGATGTATACTTTGAGTATTGATGGCATAAATGAGTAATTTTATAGGTTGTAACCATGATTTTTAATTAGAGTGAGAAATGAGAACTTTAAACTTTTGTGATTTCCGCACATTCTGCAAGTGTATGCAAACTAACGTTGCGTTAGATGCCAATTGGGTAGCACCAAGCACAAGAGATCTAAAGAGCATAAACTATTCTTTATGACTCATGCGTCAATCATGGTGTTGACCAAGTTGAGCGTGATAGCTCTAGGAGCTCTTTATGGTTAATCATGCGTGTTCATAGCATAAAATTCTCTTACAAACTCCATATCATAGCATAAAATTCTCTTACAAACTCCACATCAAACTTAATTTAACAAGCTTCGGGATAAAAAAATTATAGCCAATAGAAAAAGATTGTAAAATAAAGTGAAACAAATTTAGAAAACTGCATCCATGTAAATTAAGTTCATTTGCATCGTAAAATCACGAACATTCTTAAATGCACAAGTGATTTTATTTCAACAAATGTCAAATAGATTGCAACGAAAAATTATAAGTCTTGTATATTGTTGTTCATAAACGTAAGCACTATTTAGTGCATTTTTTCAAAATTCTCTTGCATCATTTATTGATTATAGTAGATTTTTTTTATGAGTAATACATGATTTTTATCTTTATATTGAGAAGCTTTTCATATTAAAAATATTTGTATCTCTTGTATATTTAAATTATCTATTTTTGTCCTATTTTATTAATGTTCCTTATTGATTCTTGCAAATAGGGAGATTTATTGCTTTTTTTAAAATGATAAAATGTGATGAAAATAAGATAAAAATAAAAATTAAATTGCAATTTTCCTAACTATTATTAAATATTATTTATCATGTCATTTATTTAATGTGAGGTTATGTCTAACATTACAATTGTAAAACGACCAAAATTGAAGATTTTATAAAATTAAAAGACTAATAAATTAAACATTATAGAGTGACCAAAAATGTAATTTGACCTACTTTTTTCTTTTGACAAGGAACTTCCTTTCTCGAACATGAAGATTAATATCTTTAGAGAATTTGCCAAACATCAAATAGGATGCAATCTATATGATACTATAGTACCCATTCTCAAATGTGTGTTTAATGTAACACCCAAAATTTTTTAAAATATTAAAATACAATTTTAATTAATTAAATGTGCTTTAATAAATAATTTAGGCTTTTAAAATAATTGAATGTGTTTTTATTTAATTAAAGAATGTTTTGTGAAAATATAGTATTACGTAGAAGAGTTATTTTAAAATTATATTGTTTTAATTATATTTTGTATTATTTAATAAAGAGGGAAGGGATATGTTTGAACCTAGGTCAATCTCTTTAACTCGAGGAGTTATGTTGTAGTTAAGAATTATAGAAGGGGGATTAACATTCATCAGATATCTTATTTTATGCTCTTCAAACTTACACTTTTCTCTAAAGTTTGAGAACCTCTTGGAGATCTTCGTTCACCTTCTAGTGTTTTTCAAGTTAAAGAGGATGATGAATTATCTCGCTCAAAGATGTGGGAAAACAATTGGTAGTGAGATTAACTCACAATCCCTTATTGTTTTGCAAGGGGACTTTGGGAGCCCCAATGCTTAATTACGTTTGATGAATTTGGTGATAATATGTCATTAACATCTCTCTATTGTTCTGATTTGATGTAAATTGTTTCTGTTTGATGTGAATCGAGTTCCTTTTGAGAAACCCTATAGTTCCTATTAGAAACCCTTGTTATAGAACAATTTAGAAATTGATGTAATTGTATAAAAATTGTGTAATTGATGTATACTTTGAGTATTGATGGCATAAATGAGTAATTTTATAGGTTGTAACCATGATTTTTAATTAGAGTGAGAAATGAGAACTTTAAACTTTTGTGATTTCCGCACATTCTGCAAGTGTATGCAAACTAACGTTGCGTTAGATGCCAATTGGGTAGCACCAAGCACAAGAGATCTAAAGAGCATAAACTATTCTTTATGACTCATGCGTCAATCATGGTGTTGACCAAGTTGAGCGTGATAGCTCTAGGAGCTCTTTATGGTTAATCATGCGTGTTCATAGCATAAAATTCTCTTACAAACTCCATATCATAGCATAAAATTCTCTTACAAACTCCACATCAAACTTAATTTAACAAGCTTCGGGATAAAAAAATTATAGGCAATAGAAAAAGATTGTAAAATAAAGTGAAACAAATTTAGAAAACTGCATCCATGTAAATTAAGTTCATTTGCATCGTAAAATCACGAACATTCTTAAATGCACAAGTGATTTTATTTCAACAAATGTCAAATAGATTGCAACGAAAAATTATAAGTCTTGTATATTGTTGTTCATAAACGTAAGCACTATTTAGTGCATTTTTTCAAAATTCTCTTGCATCATTTATTGATTATAGTAGATTTTTTTTATGAGTAATACATGATTTTTATCTTTATATTGAGAAGCTTTTCATATTAAAAATATTTGTATCTCTTGTATATTTAAATTATCTATTTTTGTCCTATTTTATTAATGTTCCTTATTGATTCTTGCAAATAGGGAGATTTATTGCTTTTTTTATAATTGTTATTGTGTTAGTCTTTTTCCGGAATAACTCACTGCATGCTAGAAATTATCCCTGTTCACAATATTGTATATGTCACTGTTACGAAGAAAATTTTCATATAGGACCGAATGTAGATTTCACTTTAAATAATTTATCTTCAAAATGTATGAGTGTAAGTATCTAACCACTATGG